AGCAGCTCCACGCCAATCCCTGCCCATTCCCCCCTTACCCACGTCGGACAGCACCCGGATGCAGCTCTCCACCGAGGCTTTCTGGCTGGGCAGCAGCCACGTGCAGTGGTACACACGGAACACACCCTGCAGCAGCTGCACGAACACGGGCTGCCGAGTCTGCAACACAAACATGGCACAGTCACACTGCCCCCATCCCAGGAGGGCTCAGCTGGGGCTCCCCARCCCCTACAAACTGCTCTAACCCCCCCAGGTACCAGGGTATCTACCACAGCATCAGAACTGCATGGGCAGGGTGGGAACTGGCTGACAGGGAAACATGAAACAGGAGCTTCTGCAGCAGAAAACCTCGGTAATTGAGGCTTGACTCAGCAAAGGAAATGAGCAGTCACCTTCATCTGGTTAATCAGAGCTATCAGCAACCCTGCAACAAGGATTCCTCTTGTAGTCTTGACCAGCAGCTGACTCAAGAGGCCACAGGTAAATGGGGTTTGGCTGCGTGACAGCACAGCTCCAGAGCTGAGACTGCATCATTGCAAGCACTATGAGCTGGCTTCCAATTCCCTAAGAAACCAGCTGGGTGTTTTTTGGAGCAAGGAGTGAGTGGCAGACCCTGCAGCTGTTGAGGATCTGCCAAAATCAAGGAGAGGTTTCCACCCCTGAACTTCACAAGGTCATCTCCCACTACAGACAGGTGAGATTCTCCAACACTCCCATGCCCATGAGCTCTGCTCTTCCACCTCTGCAGCTCCTCAATGACAGTGACCAAAATTCCACTTGGTTTTGTACACTGATTACTCAACATAACTATTTAGTTTACCTGCAGAGGAAAGAGTATTTTAAAAATTTCAAACTTAGAGGGAATACCCTTGGCCCACTAGCTACAGAATGCTTCTATCAGCTAARGGAACTACAGCACAGTGCAAACACCACAGCACTTAGGAACCAGGGGAAAAATACCTCTCTTAGTCTGGCCAACAGTAAAGCCTGTTTGTGAGAGAAAAGTGTAGTTAGAGTAAAAAGCCAAATCTATTAGCTAATTAAATCTATTAGCTCAATTAAATCAAACACCACTATAAAGTGTACAAGCAGAGAAACAAAATTCAAGGCCCCAAAATTGCTAGGAGGCAAACACCCTTTATCCTCTCTGGAAACAAGCCAAACACCAAAAACCATGGCAAACAGCAGCATTCACCCAGGGCCCTGAAAATACCATGCATGTTTGGATTTAAATGACCCACATGTTGCTTTCAGATCAAGTCTGAAGACCTTTTGGTCTTAAAAAACCTTTAAGATGTTTCACTTGCTTAAACAAGGTCAATAAATTAAAATAAATAAATTTAYTCCTCATCCCTCATGTCTCCAGGTGCCCTTGGGAGGGGAAAACCTTGGGAGACAAACAATGCTCATTAAAGAGCAGCCGTGGGCAGCTCTCCTYTGCAGTGACATTTATGTTTGATTTGATTTGAACCTCGTGGTGGATGTACAAGGTGTTCCCTGAACCAGCAAGGCTGGGCCTGACTCAGGGCAGGGACAATTTGAGCCCAGCAAGCCCTGACATGAAGGTGCAGAAGGCAAGAGGAGGCTGGCAGGGGAAGGGAGGGGATCAGAAGGTGCAGCAGGAAGGGCAGAGCAGAGCAGCCACATCCCTCACCTATGGCAGCACCTCAGAGGGGAGAAAATCCCACCTGGAGCAGGGATGGACACACAGGCTGCTCATCAGAGAACCCCTGGGTACAGACAACACCACTGACAGGCAGGAAAAGGGAGAGAAACTTCTAACTTGGAGAGATGAATCTAGGACAAGACAGATCTATCAGCTGAGAAGGGAAAAGAGGTGAACCAAGTGACTTCATCCTGCTAGACAGAGGGGGAGATGGAGAAACTAAAGAAAAACTGCTGATATAACATTAGCAGATGGCTAAAATAGGATGGCAAGATGTGCTTTGAAATGCTGCATCTCAGAGATATCAGTGAAGAGCGGGGCAGCCCAGGGACCCAGCACAGAGGGAAGGGCACACAAAGTGATGGGCAACAGCACCTGAAAACACCTGAGGGGCACAGCAGCTTTTGGATTGCCCAGATTGAGCCCAGGTCAGAGCCAGGGCAGGGCTGGAGCTGTGAGAGCTGGGGATGGCACTGCAAACACCTGCCCTTGGCACACCAGGCTGCACCACACTTCACCAGCCGCCCCTTTGAACCTCCTGACCACCCCACCCACGCTCCTCCCACAGCTATTTGGGAATAAAGAACAATGTTATCTCTGTGCAAATATTAGGGCAACGTCCTGACACTGCTGTTGGGCTGTGGAAGTTTCTGCCTTCACCACTGCACAAGTGCTCCAAGCTCCTCCTTCACACTTCCCCAACCTCTGAGCAAGGCAAAAAAAAACTACTCAGTGAAACACCTGAGAGCTGCTGGATTTTTGTTCTGCATGCCTTTTTTAAAGGGTGATTTGAATCTGTCTATAAAATATGCTTTCCTTAATCAATCAYCCTTGCTYCCTCTGATGCCCATGGCAGGAGWTTGGATGGGATGGGCTTTAAGGTCCYTTCCAACCCCTTTAAGGTCCCTTCCAACCCCAACCATTCTGGGATTCTGTAACACACAGGAATTCTCTCCAAAGGACCTTGGTGGTAGCACAGAGTTGAATCCACTGATGAATTAATGTGACCCTTCAGCTTCTCCAGAAGAATATTTGTGCTCTGACCTACAAACCTTTCCATTTCTACAGCAAAACCCCCGGTCTGGTTACCAGGAGCAGTGATATATTTGCTCCCCCATGACAAGAGCTGTTTCTTTGCACTGGTCAGTGGCACCCAGGTGGAATGAACCCCTCTGGCTGGGCAGAGCTCTCCCTCTGTGTCTCTGTGCTCTCCCCACCTGCAGGGTGGTGCTCTGGTCCGAGAAGGGMGAGCTGAAGAAGGTGGTGACGATGCTCATGACGATCTCRGTCACGTATTTCTCCAGGATGGAGTCGGCGTGTTTTCTGTCACTGGTGTTGTTGCAGGCCTGCAGCACAAACCAGAGCAGGGTCAGGAGCTGGGACTGGAATTGCTCATCTCACATTGTCCTGGGTCCAGTAATTCAGTGGCACTGGGGCTCTGCATTTCCAGCACACCCCAGAGCTGCCCCTGGTTTGATGTGCAGGCACAAAGCATGGCTGAGGGGAGGAAAAAACCCACAGTGTCTTGGAGAAAAGCAAGAGCAGGACAGGGAGCACTGAGGTGTAATGATTTCGTTTGGGGAAATACTTGGAATCCCAGGCAAAAAGCCATATGGCCAAATAAACACCACGCCTGGCAAACAATCTGTCCTGACCTGCCAAAAGCTCTGAGTGCTGCTCAGGAAGGAGCTCAGAGAGCCTGGCCAGAGAAAGCAGGGCCAGGTGGCAGGACAGAAAAGGCAAAGCAGGGTGTGGAGCTTCACTCAGCTTTGGTTTGGGCCTGGTGGGTTTTATTTTTTTCTTTTAAAAAGGAAAATATTAATGTGTTCCATGGAATATGACTAATGAAATCCACAGGCAGAAGAAAAGGAGGCACATATTTGCAGGAACAGAATATTCTGGGTTCTTATTGCTTTGATGCACTGGGATGTCTTGCCYTTCCTGCTCTGGATTAAATAGGTTTTTCAGCTTTCTGAATTCAATTCCTTGATGCAGATACGTTACCCGACAGATGTCAACCAGGAAGTTCTCAAACAGCTTCCACATGTGATTACTGGTGTAAATCTCTTTCATTTCTACTTCTGTGTCCACATAGCAGTGATTCAAGAAGTTGATGTATGCTATTTTGACCTAAAAGCAGGGAAAATAATTAATAAAGAAAAAAAAACCTGAATGGTGGCATGAATGAATATAATGTCACATAAAAATTGCTCCATAAATCATTTGGAATTCTACTTCTTTCTTTTGCTTAAACACTGGTGAAATTTAATGCCATGAATGGCAAGACACCAYCCAATAAAAAACCACCAGGTTTACTGCAGACAAAACGTCAGCACAATAATAATTTCCAGAATTCTGCAGAACCATCTGTTCAAGGTTAGCAGCACATCCATAAACCTCTGTGCCTCGAGAACCCTATAAAATAACCAAGGACAGCATCCCACTGATCCCATTGCCATTTTCAGRGTAAGGAGTACAAAAGGATTTTACTGTTTTTATTTTYCTTCTCCTTGTAAATTTTTCCCTATCTTTGTTCCCCTCCCTGGTGCYGTAGTATTCTTAGTAGTTTGTAGTAATAAATCTATTTTGCAACTTAAGTTATTCAGCCTGTCTGACAATTCTCTGGAGCACATATATATCTTTCTCTCAATTATGTTATCTGAAAGCCAYAAATTTTYGTGTTAATTGGGCTTTTGCTCTCCCTTCTCCCTCTCCGGTGGGRGAAGGGAGAGAACGTCGTGGGTGCAGTGCTTTTGGCTTTCAGCACAGTCCAAACCACGACATGGTCACATCTGAAAACCTTTTAGTCTTAAAAAAAAAAAAAACCTTTAAAATGTTTCATTTGCTTAAACAAGGTCAATAAATTAAAATAAATAAATTAACTCTTCGTCCCTCTTGGCTTCCCCTCCCAAGGGCGCCTGGAGACTTGGGCAGCAGCAGCCCTGGGAGAAAAACAATCCTGGAAGGATTTTTCTGGTCCATCCAGGTGGGGTGGGCTGTCCATCCCTGGCAGCAGCAGGGAGAAGGGAGGGACTGGGGGGTCCCAGCCCAACCCAGCACACCCCAAACACATCCCAGCCTCACCTCAGGTATGCAGTCCTCGTGGGTCACCACCCTGACGATGTCATCCAGAGGGAGGAGGGAGTTGCACTTGATCTCGGTGTAGACGTTTTTGCCCTCGGTGCACACAGCCAGCAGCTCCACCAGGTGGATGTGGTACATCAGGGGGCTGTTCTCGTCCATGCGGTCCCGCTCCGAGCGCATCATCTGCACCAGAGTCTGGAAGGAGGCTCGGTCGTTGTAGAACACCAGCACGTCCTCGCCTGCATTCACCAGCTGTGGGTAAAGAGAGGGTTCATCAGAACAGAAAAGACTGGAAATCCCTGCATTCACCAGCTGTGGGTAAAGAGAGGGTTCATCAGAACAGATGAAATGAAAAACACCCCAAATCCACCAGACTGAGGGGCAGGGAGAGTGTTCATCAGCACAGAAAAGACTGGGACACCCCAAATCCACCAGATTGAGGTGCAAGGAGAGCGTTCATCAGTACAGAAAAGAGTGGGACACCCCAAATCCACCAGATTGAGGGGCAAGGAGAGTGTTCATCAGTACAGAAAAGCCTCCAGGAACACCCCCAATCCTCCATGTGTGGGGCAAGGAGAGTGTTCATCAGAACAGCAAAGACTGGAAACCCCTGCATTCACCAGCTGTGGGCAAGGAGAGCGTTCATCAACACAGAAAAGACTGGGACACCCCAAATCCACCAGACTGAGGGGCAAGGAGAGGGTTCATCAGAACAGAAAAGACTGGAAACCCCTGCATTCACCAGCTGTGGGCAAGGAGAGTGTTCATCAGAACAAAAAAGCCTGACACCCCAAATCCATCAGCTGTGGGGCAAGGAGAGCGTTCATCAGCACAGAAAAGACTGGAAACCCCTGCATTCACCAGCTGTGGGGAGGGAGAGTGTTCATCAGCACAGCTAAGACTGAGACACCCCAAATCCACCAGCTGTGGGCAAGGAGAGAGTTCATCAGCACAGAAAAGACTGGGACAACCCAAATCCATCAGCTGTGGGCAAGGAGAGTGTTCATCAGTACAGAAAAGACTGAGACACCCCAAATCCATCAGACTGAAGGGCAAGGAGAACATTCCATCAGCACAGCAAAGTCTGGGATCCCCCAGCACCCTGTGATTGGGGCTGCCCCACCCCTCCCARCAAACACCAGCCACTTTCCAAGGCCAGGGAGGGACACATTAAGCCACACGCTGAAGATTTCCATCAGCTTCACATTTGACACCTGGCTGACCACGATTTCAGAGCAGCTCAAACCTCCTGGAGCTCCAGAAGGGAAGGAGATGGAGCAAACCCAGCCCTGCTGAGCACACAGGGATCCAGGGCTGTGAAAACAGCAGGATAAAATGCAGAGAAAACCCCCAGGACAGCTGCTGACCCTGGGGAAGGCTCTTGCTGAGCATCTCACACTCAGCTGTGTGTAGAGAAGCTCATGGAGCTGGTTGTGAGCTGAACAATAAAACAGGGAAGGTTTTCCATCCGTCTCTCAGGACTGATGCTCAAAAGCCAGATTTGACAAATCTGATCCTGGGGCTCCCCCTGCTGAGGAGGCCAAACCATCCCATCAGATGTGCCAAACACATCCCATCCAATATCCCTCTCAAAGGCATTCACTCACCCTTCTTTTACCTCTCCCTTTTGTCCTGACACCCCAATTTCCCAGTTACCCACACTCCTAAGGACAGACCTTATCCTTTTCACCTTTCAGCATTCAAACAGCTGAATAAGTATATCTTGCTGAGACTATTTACCAGGGACAGGGCAAGGGGGAATGCCTTCAAACTGAAAAAGAGCAGGTTYAGATAGCAGGAAAAATATGGGTGGTGAGCACAGGGTGCCCAGAGCAGCTGTGGCTGCCCCTGGATCCCTCTGAGTGCYCAAGGCCAGGCTGGACATTGGGGCTGGGAGCAGCCTGGGACACTCAAAGGTGATTCTATGGTGGTTCTATGATTTCATTAATAATTCCCATCAAAATCCTATCATGGTTAAATTCTCCTTCTGCTTTAGTGATCTTGAAATCGAACTAATTCCCTTTGAGCCAATTTTTCTAGAGAAAGGCCCTCCTACCTCACAACCCCACATACCTGCTCTGTGCACAGGCCTGGGAAGCAACCTGTGCCATGAAAAACCAAACCCTTGCTACACCTGTGAGTCRAGAGCTCTGAAAGCTTTTGGTCACAAAAAGCCTGAGCTTCCTGGGAGCTGCAATGCTCTTTTTGCACGGTGAGAGCTGTCAGCTTCTTGGCAGTCCCCGAAGCGAGAGGATCAATTTGTCATGTTCACCAACTGCTATGTGCAAACTTCTGTTCAGACCCTGCAAATCTCGGCAGCTCTCACCTCAGCCATTACCATATCTTGGCATTTCTTAATGAATTTCCCCTCTGCCTTGACGATGGTCTGCAGGAACTTGATGTACTGAACGTTCCTGCCGTGCGTCTCGATGCAGTGGACGAAGTGCTGAACCACGCGCTCGTTGATCTCGCTGCAGAGCTGGAAGTTGTTCATGAAAATGTGCTGCATCGTCACTGCTTCCAGGATCTGAGGGAGGGCATGAAAAGAAGGGGAAAATTCAGAAAAGAAACAACCCAGCACAGCCCCAGTGAGGCCAGGGTGAAGCTGATGCTCCTGCAGGAGCTCAGCTTTCAACACCACAGCTCCCATCCCAGCCTGCTTTTCACTCCACTTCAGCCTCTTGAACTTTCTACACTGAAACAGCCCTAAACAAACATCTTGCCAACTTTTGGGGGCTGAGGAATGAAAACAAAATGTGACCTCTTCAACCGATCTTGCAACAGAGCAGCCCCAGAGGCATCACCGAGGACAATCCAGCCCCTTCTTTCACCAGAACAAAAAATAAATCACGGCCTGAGGTTATTCTTACCCCTGGGTTAAGGAACAGGTTTATGTGCTTGTGCAGCAAGGCCTGGTTCTGTTGGTTCCCAGCGCAGAAATTCTGCAGAAATTCGTGTGCAAGCTTCATTATCTCCTGCATCCGGGTGTCTTCAGCCTGGGTTGGCACAGCAGAGAACAGGGGGTTAAAGGGATCCCCAAAATTCACTCTGAGCTGAGCACAGGACGAGCCACAGCTCCAGCAAGGGAACTGTCACATCCCTCACACCTCAAAGGAAAACAAACCTCACCCAAAGCTYGCTGGGGATGAGCTGAGCCAGCCCTGAGCTCCCACAGAGTCAGAAATCAATCCCAGAACARCACTGACAGTGCTTTATTCTCTGCACTGCCATTCCACAGCCAGACCTGCCAGCACCGTGCTTCAGTCACCTCCACATTGTGCACATGGCAGCTCTGTGGCCAAAGCACACATCAGCACCTCGGGCTGCCCAGTTTGGCTGTGCTGGAGGGGAAGCTGGTGGCAATGGAAAGCTGTGACTGCMCCAGCCCAGCCCAGTTCACATTTACTGGAACCTCCACACTCCCTGATCCCTTCCAAGCACTGCTGAGGAACCAGAGCACTTCCCCTGACGTCAGTGTGGATTCACAACCCACTGATGGCAGAGGCTGCACTTTGGAAAATTACTGTCTGGTTTTGTTTTTACRGAATTCCATCTATTTCCAAGGGTGAAACCCCTTCCACACTGCCTGTCCAACACATTCATACTCAGGGGATGGAAAGGTGATGAGAAGGTGTTGAAGGGTGTTTTTGCTGCCGATTTTTTAGCAAAACATTGACGCAAGAAAGCATGAGACAACATTAATCAAAGCTACTGTGTGGCACTACTGGTTCTCAGAAACCTGTAGAGCCTGGAGCAGGGGACAGCAGTGACCAGGAAAGTTGCCTCAGGTCTGCAGTGACAAATATCTGTCCCCTGTCACTGATGGGAGCCAAGGGGTTGCCCTGGGGCTGTGCTGTGTCAGCACCTCCTGGGGCTCAGGGGGCTGCACAGATGATAAGGGTTGGCACTGGTAAAGCTGATAAAGAGCAGAAAAACCTCCCTGGAGAGCCAGTTGGGATTTATTCTCTGGGATTTAGACCTCTGAAGAGGAATTCAGGACTCTACAGCTGGGGGCAGGGTCTGCATCTGAGGGCTGCCATAAATCCTCCTGTCCCTCAGTGTCCCAGGACAGTCCCACAGCTGCCCCACAATGAGTGGCTTGATTCCTTGATTCCACCCACACAGCTTCACCTCAGGGCAGCAACTGGCACCCAGGAAAAGCCCAGAGCTGAGCCTTCATGCTGAATTAGGATTAGCACAATGGTGCACAGCTGTATGTTCAGATTTCAAACAAACAGAGCTTGTCTGAGCATGGATATTTTACAGCCTCTGTGCATGCAGTGGACAGGGAGGAGGTTCACCAGGGTTCAGAGGAGGTGTGAAAAGCTTTCCAGCACCACCCAAAGCCCCACCTTCTCGTAGGGGATCTGCAGCAGCTCCAGCACCACGGCGTGAGCCCCCATGTTCCGCAGGAGTCGCTGCTGCTGCTTCCTGCTCTTCCTCACCGAGGCCCCTTCCTGCACGCAGAGCTTGCTGAGCCGCAGCAGGATCTGCACGAGAGAGCAGCCTCAGAGCCCCGAGTCTGGCTGTCCCTGCAGAGAACGCCAGGTCCAGCCAGCAGCACCAGGGAACAGCTCATCTGACGGGGCAGAGCAGCTCCAGGCAGCCCCTCTGGACCACTCAGCTCCATCCGTGGCATCTGACTAGGGCTGCTGGACTTGCAWCATCCTTGTGGGTCCCTTCCAGCTCAGGACACCCTAAAAATCTGACATTCTACGCTCCTGCAGAGCTCAGCCATGGCAAGTGAACCCAACATCTCCACAGACACACCTCCAGCTCACACCACAGCAGCACCACAGCGTGCTCTCCATCAGCTGTTCTCTGCATTAAATATCGACAGCACAGTGGCTCTGAGTGCAAGCTACTCWGGACAGGGCAAATTAAGTGGTTCTCCCCTTGCTGACTGCCTTTGTAGTCCTTAACAATAAAAAATATTGTGTTACCATTGAAACAGCAGCACACGTCGAGTTTCTCACTAATCCCTTCTTAAGGAAAGAATACACACGTTGTGCTTTTCTATCCTGGCTTCCCATTCAAGTTGGGATTTGTTATTACTCAGCAAATAGTTTCCACAATGGCAGAGTGACTCAGACTTTCCTGGGTGCCTCCCTCTGACTGCAGCTCTGTTACTCATTTACACTTCCAGTGAACTATCAAGAAGCAAAGTTTTACCTCTTTTACTACCCGGTAGTTGTAGCTGCTAGTACTTTCAGGCTTTTGAGACTTGCTGTGACCTTCCTGAGGATAAAATCAGACAATTTATTAGTAGCTTATACTACTGTCTACATGAAGGCTAAAATTACCGTTGTAGGATAGCGCCCGCTCTCCTCCTGGGAAGGACTGTCATCCTCCAGCTCTGACAGCCTCAGAAAAATACACACAATTATCCTGTCAAGTCACATTGACCTCTAGAACACAGAATAGGGKGAGGGTGGGATGATTTCAGAGACAGCAACCTCCTGTCCTTTGCTTTGTCACATTCTGTCTCTAATCAAGTCTCCCCTCAAAAAAAAAAACAAAACCTTCCTTTTTTCTTGCTCTCTGTTATTGAACTGTCACTGCACAAGTACCAAGAGATCCCTCACAGCACCGTGTACAGGAAAAGCAACAAGTACATTACTTGTATTTACTTCCAGCTGTAAATGTTCCTAAACCAGGGACTGCTTCTTGGATTCCCTCATCCAGTCTTTCCTATTTGACTGTGATTTATATGGCAGCAGAAGATGCTCAAAGAGTTCTAAGGCAGATGTGCACCTTGGGAGAATCCTGTGTTATCAGGGACAGACAAGGCACAGCTCTCTGCTGTATTTAACCCAGTGCCAGGACTCAGAATGCACCACTGAGCAGTTCACAGCTCTGCCCTTACCCTCCTCGAGGTACTGTGGAYTGCACAAATCCCACAGCATCAGTCAGTGCCCAAAGGAGCCAGAGCAAACCCAAACCATCCCTGTTAGACCCTGCAGGTGACACCTCAGAGGCTGCTACTGGGCATCACCGGGCTCCAGCTCTCCTCTAACTCCTGCCTTAACCTGAAAGCGTAGAGAGAACCTCACCTAGGCAGTGTGCTGGGAAGATGGGCCTTGTCACAGCTCTGAMAGCAGCCACCCCCTCCAAATACCACCCAAATTCACACCAACACAGCCCAATTACCTCTTTCTTCTTGTGCTCGTTTTCACCTGGCACACTGTCCATGGGCTCATCAGGACCYTGGCCTTTGTACACCCAGAGCTCAGATTTCTCCACTATTGACCTCAGCTGGTCCAAATCTTGTTTGATCTGCTTGTAGTTGTCAACATCTTGGCTGGTAACGAGCAGTTGAACCTTTCAGGRGGACAAGGCAGCAGTTGCACAAACAGGCTGAGCTGCCATCAACACATCCAGGAGAGCAATAACTCTGTCCCAAACTCAGACATACCTGCTTGAATGCCTGAAGGACTTCTTGTCTCTGGCTGAAATGCCTGAAGAGCAGCTGCAGTGCCCCAGACACCAGGGGAGGGTAATCGTGCATGGTTAAATGCAGCAGGACTCGCAGGAACGTCCTGCCCCCGTGATCATCCAGATCCAGAGGGGTGTTCTCCTCACTGCAAACACAGCAGCAGATCACCAGCATGTCACACTGAGTGCCCCAGCCTGCTCTAGGTCCACTCAGCAGTGGCAGAAAATTATTTCTTTTAAATAAAGGGGAAACTGTACTGAAATTTTGYTGCAGCKTTGAGCTCAGATGCACTAATCCTGMACCTTGGTTTCACCCYCCAGTKCAGCCTCCCCTGAGGGCCATCCTGGATGAAGACCCCATGCACCTCATCTGTGGTTTTTAATCCAAATGGACACTACTTTGGGCTGCACAAAGCCATTTTAGGAAAACAAAGCCTGGGTAACTGTGGCAGCTGTTTCCAAGCTTTTCCCAGTCCCCACCTCACTCTGAACTGGAGTCCCCACTCCTTGGGAGCCCTCCAGCCCTCAGGCAGCACCTGTGAAGAGATACTTTCCTTCCACCAAAGATCCCCTCCGCTTGCTCCTCAATATGTTCAAAGTCTAGGGCTCCTGAGAAAATACACAAAACAAATTCATGGCATCAGAGGGGCAYAAAGATGCTTCTCCAGCCTAAACACATTTCAAATGGCAACTGGGGACCTGAAATCATCATCCCATCAGCCCCTTGAAGATTCCAGAGTCTTCCCTAACCCCCACAATTTCATTCCTTGCAAAATAACCCACCTGGCACRTTAGCTGGCATTTCTTGGCTACTGCTTCCCGTGGGGGATTCRGACATTTGGGCATTGCTTTCATCAAATTCATGTTTGAAGATACAAAGCAGGCAGGAGATCCTGTAGTCCAACCTCACATTCAAGATAAACTGATGATACAGAAGGAGGGAAAATGTTGAAATAATTTATGTATTTCCAGCACATCTACAGTTCACACACAATGCAGAGCTACCAACACAAAACATCAACTGAGCAGAGATGGGGRCTGAACTTGGAAAAGTTAATCAGGGTGGGGAGGCCCTGGCACAGCTGTGGCTGCCCTTGGATCCCTGGCAGTGCCCAAAGCCAGGTCAGATGGAGTTTGAGCACCCTGGCAAAGTGTCCCTGCCATGGCAGGGGTGCCACTGGGTGAGCTTTAAGGTCCCTTCCAACCCAAACCATTCTGGGACTCCCTGTTTCTAAGACATGCAAATGTTGCCTTAAAGATCCCCAGAACTCAGAAATATTTTCCAGGGATTTCAACAAGCGTGATGCACACACATCATCAATATTTCTGAGTAAAACATTTTGGCAGAGCTCTGGTGCCTCATTACTGTGTGATGCTGGCATCCTCACCCCATCCCCAGGAAAGGAAAGCAGCACTTSCAGCTCCATCCTGAACATGGGKACAYRGRAGCAGGACAGGAGCTGCCAGGAGCCACACAGGTCACCAGCTCAGCTGTGCCAGAGAATCCTCCAGCAGAGCAGAGAGCTCCTTCCCCGTGCTCTTCCTCTTGAGAAGGGAAGGGAGGTACCATGCCAAGAACACTCACAGCTCGCGGGGAAATCAGCTTGAATAGACCCCAGAAACAGGGAACACTGGCACACTGAAATACCCCCTGCACATGCCAGGCCACCAGAGCAGCCCTAAAACTGCACTAAAATTAGCCATGGTGCAAGGCAGGAGCGGAGCCTCCCCTGTGCTGCATCTGCTGCGAGGGAAGGGCAGAGCCTCAGCCCCCGCTCTGCCTCTCACGGGGCACGGGAGGGGAGGAACAGCATGGAATGGCACAGCACGGCATGGCACAGCTMTCCTGCTGCTCTCCTGCCTCGCCCACCAGGCTCCCACAGCACCCTGACCCCCAGCACCTCGCTGATGAGCACAAAAACCACTCCTACACTCCGAGGGGGAAGATGCACTGCAGCGCAGCAATTCTGCGTCAGCAACGAGGAAAAAACGTGTGTGAGCATCCCAAAGGCTTTGGGGTGAGCAAGTGAGAAAAGCAGGGAGATGGAAGAGAGAGAGGCTGGCTGTGATTGCTTCAAACACACATCAGGCTCTGCAGAGAGGAGTCTGGAGATGTCCCCGTTCCTTGGGGCACTTCAGATGGCTCTGGCAGCTCAGAGAAATTGGGAAGAATTTGCTTCTCCACCCAACAGGGTGGAGAACAACAGCTCTGCTTCAGGTCAGACACTTAAAACCACTGCTAAATATGCAAATGCCCACTGCAAACTCATTTCTAATAAATTCCTTCAGTAATGGCACAACATTGTCATGATCAAGCTGAGAGCCAAGGTCACCCTTATTTCAGGTTGGAGTCAGAACCATTAAAAGGCAGCAGGACATGGTTAATGCTGGGGTTAAGAGCCCCATTCTGCAGTGCTGGTACCTGGAGGATCTCRATGATCTTCAGCTTGGTGTCCATCACCAGGATGTCCTCCTTCTCGGGCTCGCTCTGCTTGACATTCCCCTCGGGGGCAGCTGCCAGGGGAGTCATGGGSAGGAACCCCCCACCCCTGAGCACCACCTGGGTCATCAGCTCCCCCACGCCGTGGATTGACCTCATCACATTGCTCCCTTCAGAGAGGAAACAGGCAGGGTTAGCGTGGGGCAACGGGGCTGTGCTAACAGGGCACGCACCGGCCAAATCCTACAAAGAGAAATGGTCTCAACATCACACATYCACATCCCGGGCTCAGGGGAGCCAGCAGAAACCCTGCAGGACCTGGAAAAACCCTCTGCCCTCTCCTCCTGCTACCACAGGGAACACTCAGAGTTACAACCAAGCCATGGGCAGAAAGGAGGAGGTTTCCAAGCACAGCATCACTGGCCAGGGATGGAGGGAATTGTCCCTCTCTGCTCTGCAGTGAGCTGGACTCACCTCCCATCCTGGAGGCAGCTTTGGTGCCCAAAATGTAATAAAGATCTAAAGGAATCAGAGAGCAYCCAAAGGAGGCTACAAAGACAGGGAAGGGACTGGAGGAGAAGTGACACGAGGAGCAGCTGAGATCACTTCAGTCTGAGGAAGAGGAGGCTGAGCTCAGACCCACCCAGGGGCTGCAGCTCCAATCTCTGCTCCCTGGGACAGGGACAGCACCCAGGGAAGGGCTGCAGCTGGGCCAGGGAGGCTCAGGATGGAGCTCAGGGAAAGGTTTTTGTGTCCCCAGAGGGTGCTGGCACTGCCCAGGCTCCCCAGGGAATGGTCCCAGAGCTCCAGGAGCGTTGGGACAGCGCTGCCAGGGATGCTCAGGGGGGAATTTGGGGTGTCTGGGCAGGGACAGGAGCTGGATCAATAATCCTGTGGGTCTCTCCAGCTCAGATGTTCTGTGAGTTCATCATTCCACCCCACAAGGACATTTTGAGGTGAACTAGAACCACCCCAGAACTTCCTGTCCTAYGTTTTCCAGCCTTACCTTTACTTTCCTCGCCTTTTGCCATCTTGGTAATAGGGAAGATGGTAGTGATGTGCACACAGTCTAATATAGCAAGGAGGATTTTGGTTAGTCTGAGGAGGTCACAGAAGTTGTAGAAACCAAAATATATCAGATTTCTGGCTAAGTTAACAACCTACCAAAATAATAATAAAAAGCCTGATTAATACTAAACATTTTGCTATCACAGTCRTCTTAACACAGAGACAAGATCAAGAACCTGGCTGAGAATCACATTTTACCACAATATCTCAGAATTGTGCAAGACTGTCTAGTTCTACATCACATCAGAAAGTTTTCAAATACTGCAATGCTGGCACTTAATGTCTGATGTCTGCAACAATGCTACAGCTACAAAATCAGACTGTATTTATCTCACTGTAAAACAGGTAAAGCAGATTAAAACTAGAGGGATWTTTTATCATTGGTACAGGTAATTTTTATCATTGTCCTACAAAAAATGTATCACAAATAATAAAGCTGAACTCTGTAACTTCCAAGTTATAAAGCTTCCCCACRAGTCCACCCCATAAAGATCCACATAAAAATATCACATGCAGGGCAATTATTTACTGTAGCCCCATGAMCTGAAGTGCATTACCTCAACTATATCTTTTAACAGAATTTCACATCTTTTCTCAAATTAATGGTTATTTATTGCATGGATTTGCTACATTTTATTTGCACAGACTATTTTAAGAGGTCAGTAAGTCACAGGACACTTTTTCTCTCGGTGAGCATCGCTCCAAGCTCTGGAGATTCTCAGTGTGTGCAGGCAGTGTTTTGTTTTTCAGATATTTATTCCAGCAGAGCCTGGCTTTGCAATAACACTGAGAGCACAGACAGGAACCAAGGCTGCTGCAAACCTCAGACAAATTCACKTTCATTAATTGTATTTCAAGAGCCATCACTGCAAACTCACAAATTTCAGTGGGGTTTACTTGCACGAGGAGAAATGAGCCTGCTGAGGCTCAGCACTCACTAATTACACTCACTAATTATTGCCAAACTACCTGGTGCTGAAAAAGGAACCAACATTACACAAAAAAAAAAGGAAAGGATAAAATCAGAACTGGATAACTACCTCAAAAGTGAGCTTATTTTTCTCTTTATCAGAGAAAGGGAACCTCTGACACACCACATCTCTTAAATATTCCTCTACAAATTCCATTGTTTGTGCAAATCTCTCCTTAATTTCATCTTTGGAAGTTCCACTGCTATCATAGCTGAAGAGGGGAAAAAAAAAAGAACAAAACAAAAAAAAGAAAACAAAACAAAACTTAGCATGCAAATACACAGGGCTCCTTTTCCCCCCAGCACAATTTTCCATTGGTTTGTCAAAATCTAAGAAAAGCTAAAGGCTGGTAAATAATTTATCCAAATGAGGGAGTCGAGACACTGACACCAGAATTTCCTGGCTTTTTTTCTTTCATCCCATACGCTCATTAGGTACTATTTTAACATGTCCGAGGAAAACAATAAAAAAAGAGTTTTGTTCCAAAAAAATAGAAAAAGCAAAGCTCAATATCTGAGTGGAAACAATGACAAGGGATGTGCARCACTGAGGAGAACGGGTGGCCAAGGGAGGCTGACTGGGGATGGTATTTTTCCTCCAAATAAAACCAATTTATATGCAAAGCAGGTATTAATTTTTAATATCAACTCCAGGGTTTTATTCTCAGTWTGTGCAGAATGACTTGGAGAAGGACAATCCCACCACATTCCATRAAATAGTTTTGCTTCCTGTTTGATCACTGGTGAGCCTCTGCCAGAGCTGAAACCATTTGATTTCATATTTTGGCCTTTAAATTTGATTTATTATCTATTGCATCTCTCTCAGCAGAGAAAACCAGGCTGGCAAAGAGAGAAATACAGGAAACCACTGAACACCAGCATTAGCATTGACAAGACTTAAATTCCTAGCACAACATCAATTTTAGGTGTTCTTTTCTCCAACTGAAAAACAACGAGCTCTGGACAGTTGAGTACTATACATTTGAAATTATTAATTATAGAGAGTTGATACAACTGTCAGGATACTCGTGCCTGGTCTAGCTGTGGTTTTGTGTAGGTTTTTCAGCACTGTGACAGAGGATTTTCCACTGGGAGTTAAGGAACACAYGCCCTTGTTTGAGAATATTCCCTGTTGTTTCTGCTGCTGGTGGGGAGCTCCCAACAGGACAATCTGCCCTGAGGTGTGACAGGAAATAGGCTCAAGTTGGGGAAGTTTGGAGAGATTTTGAGAGGTTTTAGGGAAGATGTTCTCAGTGAAACAGTGGTCAAGCCCTGGAACAGGGGCCCAGGGCAGTGCTGGAAGCTCCATCCCTGAAGAGTTCCAAAGAGGTGTGGATGTGGCACTGGGGACATGGCACAGTGGGGATGTGCTGGTGGCACTGGGGACATGGCTCAGTGGGGATGTGCTGGTGGCACTGGGGACATGGCACA